ATACATTTATTGTATAATTACCAAGCTTTCTGCCAGTTTTGGGCTAATTATCTGATGTCCTGTAATGTCTATGTAGTGATAAATTGTGCAAAGTCACTATTTTATGTACCTTTCTTATTTTTTTTTCTGTAAAATACTGCTTTTTAATGAATCTTGAACTGATATGTTTGGTTTGATTCCTTTTTGTCTATTTTTTCTTAAAGTCCATGTTGTAAAGTAACAAATTACAAATACTCAAACTACTGTAACTAGTTTTTTTCTCAGGAATTGTAATTTACTAAATAAGTTTAAAATGTGTACTTTTACTTGAGTACATTTTTAGTGCTGTATTGCTACTTTTACTCCACTAGTTTCCTTTCACCTGCTGTCGCTACTGTCTATCGGGATTAGAAAAATCTGTCCTGTGATTCCTGTCCAATCAAATTGCACATAGAAGATAAATCGCATCATAATGAACCACCTCAAGACGGGGGTGATTTATAATTGCAACAAAGTGTTTAGAAGCATTAAAAGTGTTCAAAAGAAGATGTTTAATATCTTTACAAACATTGACGCAGAGACTGTTTAGATGCATGTAACTGATGAGAAGATGACTGTGTGATGTTGACTGTATGATGACCGAAATGGCCTTAAACAGCAGGCACATGACGTCAACATGGTGTCAGACTGATGTTGTACCACAACGTCTTGGGAACGTTGCATTTTGTTTTGAAATAAAAATCAGTTTAACGCCAGGCCGACGACAATGTCCAACATCCAACCTAAAAATTAACGTCTATTGATGTCACAGCTTGATGTTGCTTGGACATTACCACGATGATGTCTATCAGACGTTGGATTTTGGTTGCCATACCTGACGAATAAATCTCAGTATTTTACGTCAATATAACGTTGGTTTAAAATGTTGGCTCACCATTGGGTTTTCGTCCCTTTCCAACACAACCTAAAACCAACCAATTATCAACATCGTTTGACGTTGTTATTGGACATCAAAATAAGATTGTCCTTAGACGCTGGCTAGACATTAAATTTTGGTCACCTGACGTCACAACCAAAATCTAACCTAATATTAATCTTAATGACGTTGTGTGCCTGCTGGGCAATAACTAAATGCACTACAGAATGTTACGTTTACACACATCTACAAATTACATACTCACTACTCACGAGTACTTTTGAAAAATCTACATTTTACTCATACTTTGAGTAATATTCACAACAGATACTTTGACTGTACTTGCACTAAATTTTTAGGCAAGTAATGATACTTTTACTTAAAGTATGATTTTTCCTAACTCTTTCCACCACTGCTTAAAGTTATGCAAGTTAAGTCTACACACCAAGAAAAGAGGGTTACTTTTCATTTAGACACTGACAGAACCTTTTGTACTTTTCATACTGTATGTCATCAACATCATAATTCACATGAACTTTGTTGCTGTCAAAAAGACAATCTCTTAATGTATCCACAAAAATCTTTAGTTTTGGGATAAGTATTATGGGATTCATCCAGCACTGAAGAACAGTGTCGGTCAGATCCATTATAAAACAACTTTGATACGTGTAATAACATGTGGAACAAGTTTACATTTGCTTAAGTAGGTTGACATAGGTGCTAGATGAAAAATAACATGAGACACACCTTATCCCTACGCTGTGAAAACACACCAGTTTCGTACAAAAATCACAGGAGCCCCACACAATGGACACAAAAGCTTTGCTACACTGAGCTCCGCTTACAAAAGCCTCTAGCTGAGGTGTGTGCTTTTCAATAAACAGTTATTTGGGGCATCTGGCACTGTGGTATGACCATTGCAAGTCAACCTGAATGAAATAGACATTGTTAATGGTCAAAGACAGTTAAGCATTTCAGTATAAGCATTTCTGGAAGCGTTTTCCAGTGTTTTTTTTATTTATTTATTTACGGTTGTGAATTGCATTATGAGGCCTTAATCTCTGCTCGGTTTACTTTTTATGTTGAAAATATCACTCTACTGTGACTTTTATTGAGGTTTTAGGCAGTAGGTAGTGCTGTCGCATCACAGCAAGAAGGTCACTGGATCGCTGGTTCGAACCTCGGCTCAGTTGGTGTTTCTGTGTGGAGTTTGCATGTTCTCCCTGCATTCTCGTGGGTTTCCTTCAGGTGCTCCGGTTTCCCCCACAATCCAAAGACATGGGGTACAGGTGAATTGGATAGGCTAAATTTTATGTAGTGTATGTGTGTGTATGTGTTTGTGTGGATGTTTCCCAGAGACGGGTTGCGGCTGAAAGGGCTTCCGCTGCATAAAAACTTGCAAAATGCAATTCAAAAGCATAAATAAATTGGGGGGAAAAATAAAAACATGAATCACAAAATACAGTCTAAACTGCTAATTTACAGATATTTATTTTTAAGTGTATATTGCAAGAGTTTGAGTTACATTGTTCTGTTGAATTGCTTAAAAATGCACCATATAGTTTCATAGATTCATCCACAACCAATCTACCCTGCCAATGAATAGCTACTTTATCTAGGTAATAAATTGTACTCCTCTTTCTAAATGAACCCGACTATTACAACAAACAAATATGATAACATTCTAAAATTAACTAACATCAAATAGCTATGAGAGTTATTGTGAGCCACACATTAGTCTAAAGGTAAAACCATGTACAGTATACATGCAGAGCAGAGCAAAGTGAATGCTCATTATTTCTGGTGACATGCTATAATTCTCTATTTATTTATTTAAATGCCTTATTTTATAATTACGTAAAAACTTTTTCTCAAGTCTCTTTCCATCCAGTAAACAACTGATGAACAGAATTAAGCCAACAACCTTTATCTCATAGGAATAGTTCACCCAAAAATTAACATTTCAGACCATATAAGCCTTTTTTAATTGGACTTTTTCTGTAGTGGAACATTAAAGATGCTCTTTTACTGGTACCATGACTCTTAGTGATGAATGAACAGCAGTCAACAGCTACTGAACAACTATACAGATACAATAATAAAAAACCCATGGTAAATGAAGATTAATACCTGTGGTTTATGACAATGCATCAAGGTCTCATGAATAGGCCCACACGGAATCTGTGCGCGCAGAATTCCGCAGTTTTTTCGATAATTCAGATAATTCTGTTTATTTACTTGAGTAAATGTGTGTAAATCTAAATTTATTTAGTTTTTTAATTAACTACAGTAATATTTTTTGCCTAATATGAAAATGTTCATCTCATTTATGTACAATGCAGTTTGAAAAGTAATATTTTCTGTCTTTTAGTAGATACACGAGACTTGCTTTGTTTACCAAATAAAGTGAATCTAATTTGATTTGCAATTTAAACAATAAATAAGTCAAAAAGGTATTATTTTTTATTTCACGTTTAAGGTTTTAGTTATTACACTCGCAAAATATTTTTGCAGAAATCCGCAAAAAGCAAAAAACGTCCGCAGATTCCTTCTGGCCATGCTCATGACTTGAAACAATCAGTCTGTGCAAAAGATGGAAGACTATTTACAATTACCTTTAATCTGCAAACTTCCTGATGCATTTGTGTGGTGGCAAATTTACACTTGAGCTAGTGCTATTTGTAACATTTAGAATAATAAGCAATTTTTTTCTTTACAACAAGTGTCCTCTTTCTCCACTATAAACAAACAGTGAATAAACTCTAGAGAGTATGATTGTGAGCATACGGCATGACAATATGGGTGCCAAGACTGTAAACTAAAAGTAATAATGTGTTAATAACATAAAATTTTTGCACAGACTTATTGTTTCACTTCATAAAACCTCAATTTATCAACAACTGCCCAGGGTACTAATTTGGTTTGTTTGTTAATTTAATCTCAGTGTTCTGGTAGCTAAAGTCGCAAGCTAAAGCTAAAGTCTCTTTTTATGAATCAGCATAAATTCAGCTAATAATCTTAACCCCCGAAAAATACTTTATCGTTTAAACTCCCTCAAGTGCTTAAAATTTTTACGTGTAAATTTCTTCTTTTAAACACACACACACACAAAAAAAAAACTTTTATTTTAAAGAATGCCAGTTGCTGCAACCCATTAGACCTACATAGTAAAAAAAAATGGTTATGGAAGTCAGTGGGTTAACAACAGGAAAATGAAAATCAAATAGGTTTTGAACAAGTTAAAGGTTTCATTTATGGCTGAACTACTGTATCCCCTACATTTCTAAAACAATTATGGCCTAAGTGTGAGTATATTAACAGCAAGTTTTCATTTTTGGGAGAACTATACCTTTAAATTCCGAATTATATCAAGTATAATCTTACAAAATGAATTATTCAGCACACAAGGTCAAAAACAAACAAACAAACAAATCCTGTGGGAATGCCAACATAATGTAATTTCTACATTCATTTAGAATCATTCCTAAAGGGATCAACAACTTCAAAAATCCAACTGGATTTAAACTAATTCTGAAATAATTATCTGGGATAAATAAAACAGGAATTCAGCTAAATCAGTAAGGGCTTTTTCGTTATTCTTACCTGATGTCCTGACATGTTTGTTGTCATTATGAGTAATTCGGCAGTATTAAAGGAATTCCACTGATACTTTAGGATTAAACCTCCAATGTATATAAATATGTCAACAAAACAAAACTGAACCTAATTCCAGTGTATTTATTTTAACTCTAAAATCAACATTGCTAGATGACACCTTGGTACACAACAACAAGCCAATTGATTAAACTGACATTCTGAGGCACTGTTGTATTACTGAACTTCGACCTTCCTCGAGGATTCTAATTTGATCCCATTATGAGTGGTAGCCATTCCATTGACATTCCTTCCTGTTTTCTTTAAGCCACATGACAGCTAATTATGTCAACAGGTGACACTTATATCCATAAACAGCATCAATCCACACAGCAGACAGCAGGTACATGCTCGTGTCCTGTTAAACCTGACACAAATCTTGCAAAGCTCCAGCACGCGCACGCATCATACATGGTATTCCTAAATAACGCAGTGTCATGACGTCACGCACCTCTATCCATCTCTGCGCCTCACGGACAGCGGGTTCGGGCGCCGGTTCGGTCTGATGATGTTGATGGTGATGGTGTTGGTGGTGGTGGTGATGATGAGCCTGCAGAGGAAGATGCCGTCCTGCATCTGAAGCTGGACTCGCCATTTAGAAGTGGTGCCTTAATGTAAGCCCTGTTTACGCCCGATGAGAGACGGAAAGTCACGCAACTCGCCAGGTAAAGTTATTTCAGGACTCTGTGTGTCGTGACGCAGAGCTGCGCTGCTGCCGCACTCGCGGATGAGCTGAGAGACGCAAGAGCGCCGCCGACCCGCTGGTGGGGCTCACGGCAGCCAATCAGAACGCAGCATTGCTTCTTAAGGCGGCCCTTTAGCCAAATCAGCCAATCAGAGGTGAGATTTACTTCCCAGCGCCGCCCTACGCACGCCTACTTTACACACCCTACTCCAATGCCCTAATGTGATAAGAACTTTATTAATTAACACATGTACGGATCAATAGTTGAGATATATTTAAATATTCGAACAGTCCCAGTAGCTGGACACTAATTGATTCATAAAATTGCAATATAAAATGTTTTTTTTTTACAATTTTTTTAATAATATGTTTTTTCTATTTGGAATTATTTATTAAATAAACCTTGTTATTTTGTTGCTGGTAATTGCAGGTATGTTTGTCCATAATTGACACAAAATCAAACATTTTTAGATTAATAATAAATGTATAAATATTTTATATCAATGTATCTCTCTCTTTTTTTTTAAATAAATAATTTATGACACACTCTCACTTTATTGGCTTTCTTCCTACTTTATCAGGGACCCCTAATTTATTATTTTTTTTATTATTATTATCATTATTATTCAATTTTATGTTTTTTTTTCCAAATATAAAATCCTAGCACTCCACATTTGGCTCCCGGTGTTCCCAGGACAGGGCCAGTTAACGAAATCAGTGGCCAATGTCATTCATTTAACCTCTGATTGGATAGTTGGGTTAGATGCTGTAATGCCATCTAGTGGAATTAACTGGCCTTTAAGGTATTAGTCTGCACATCTTAATAAAACGTAAGATTAATAGGCATAATGCTTTCTCTAAATGTGTATGTAAAGTTCACTGCTTGTTTATGTCATTTCTTGCCAATGTTAAGCATTGCATTTTTACCATTGCCAAAGTATCTCATACTTCATAGACATGTGTCCATTTGTTTTGTGATTAAATACACAGATTTTCTGAGTGGATGTGAAAAATTTTCTTAGAAAAAAAACAAACATTGTATTTAAGTTACAACATTTTGATATTTACATTTATTATTTAAATACATGCAAAAATATCTTTCTACAATTTTTTATTATTATGGGAAAGTTTTACATACATAAAAAATAGACTGGATCAAAGGCAATTTTTGTTCATTTCCTTCAAGAGACTAAGGACCAAGTTTGGAGAATACTAATAATAAAAAAGCAAAGAAGACTTGTAATATTCTAAAGGAATATAATATTTTTTTAATTACTGAATGTTTTATGTACACTCTGGCATATAGTTTTGTATATTAATGTATAATTCTGTATTTGTTGTTAATATAAATAAATAAATAAATAAATAAATAAATAAATAAATAAATAAATAAATAAATAAATAAATTTTAAAAACCTCCATATGATGTATTAACTGTTACTTTTCTAAGCGCTGATTAGTGTGAAATCTGTGGACCAATCAGTTGATGTGTTTATAGCCCAAATAAGAAAATCGCTTTCTTTTAGGTTTAGGCACATGCACACATAGGGCTCAACCTGTGCAGTAGGCATGCCCTTTTTAGTCTTGGATAGTAAGTGCCCTTCCAAAATGATCTGACGTGCCCTTGCCACATACTTTTACACAACTTTTACCATTGCCATGTGTACTATTTTATATTTTTCCATTTATAATGCAACCAGAAAGTCTTCATACAGTTAGCTGATGTATTGTAAAGATTGATCACCCATTAGGCTGTGACCATGATGCAGAGCGCTGCAATTAATGGATGTATGGGTGCTAAAATAATATAGTGTACAGTGTGATATGCTATTATGTACATGACAATATGTTCTCATTGCTAAAGGGTCAAATCATATCACCACTGTAATGAACTCAAATTAAGCTGGACTGGACTCTATGTCCTGTCGCTCTCACTGGTAAACCATGATTGATCATGATCTTATCAGAGAATGCTGTTCTTCATCCTATTCTTCATCCTTCTCTTCTTCATGTTACAAATCCTGCTCCTCATTTTGTTTCTCTTTAGGTCCTCCTCGTCATCCTCTGTCTTTCTCTTTCCAGCCTTATTCTTATGCTCTTATTCTCTATTATTGTTTACATACATTTTTTAAAACCAATAGCTTGACTTTTAACTTATTTACAGGCCTTTTCCAAAGCCACGATTGGCTGGTGGTTCATGAGCTATGAGTGAATGTGAGGTACTTTAATGCGTCAATTAGAGAGTTTTAATGTGTTCTTTAAAGAGAAAAAATATATTAATTTGAAAACTGATTGAAAGACTAAGATTTATTGTATAGTTTTGCAGTTTTGGTGTGTGGTTTTGTGTTTGAGGGTCAGGTTTCAGAAATTGTGTAACAAGTAAAATTTTGTGTTTAAGCAATGGAACAAAAGAACTGGTACAGACCTTTAGTTTCTGAAGGTTTTTCATAATTTAACTGAAATTTGTTTTTCAGACGCATAAGTTGACATAGGTGTTATACAATAACATAATTACATTTTGAAAAACACCCAGATATCTTGAAACTCTTGACAAACTAAAGGCAAATCTGTGAAGTTTTTATGCTTACATGAACAGTAGTATGAGTCAAAACTGGGTTTGATTCAATGGGAAATTCCTTTCTGAACAAAATCTATTATCTTTTTTTTAAGGAACATATTACAATATGGTAGAGTAACAGAAAATTGCAAGAGCCAGAATATAGACTGTACCCCAAACACAATAGCCTACATACTTAAAAGAAACACAACAAAAAATGTAATATCGGTATTTAGAAGCATAATCTAATCGTTTTAACAACATTTTTTATTATGTGTTTTTTGTTTTGTTTTGCTTTGCTTTTTATTGAAGAATTCTATTAATCTTTGTGTAACTTACTCCATTGAAATAGCACATTTGTCAGTTAAAACAGTGCTCAGTACATTATTTTGGAGATTCCTGGAGAAATGAGGAATGATATGAATTCAGAATATGGATTAGTGTAAAGATTAAAAAGCATACATCTTTAAATTGATTAGTTTTAAAAGATAAAGTATCAAAAAGAAACGTAGACAAAAAAATGAAGATACCTTTAGGTTGCAAACATTTTGAGCAATAGATTGAATAGATGTAGCACTCTAGCGCCCTCTGAAGGAATTCAAACCTATATTGTCATATTTATACTTTCTCAAAAAATAATACATGAGAATAATAATAAAAATAAATACATAAAGGTATAATAAAAAATAGCATAATGATGATAATAATAATAATTTTCATAAAGCAGTACGTGCTTTTGCCTTGGGGGAAGCAGCCTTGAAGTTTGACCGTGAAGTCACGTGATGAGCTGCAGTAACGTGACTGTCTAAAACAAACGGGAAGTTCGTGATTCACTCTCACACTACAGCTGTTTAAACCTTATTCTTTCAAGAAGAAACGCCGTTGGAAGACGTTCACTGACAACGGCTAAAAGTCAACCTTTGTCGCTGTCGGTGCTCCATTATCGGTGTTTTATCATCCGGTAAGTTTGCAGATCATGGTGGTTGTTTATACTCGTGTTTTGTATGCTGGCTACATGGTTTGATACACGGTTTGCTGTATATCTACATATATAATCTTTTGTTTAATGATTCTGAAGTCATGTATTTTGCTTAGTGCGTTTTATGAGTTTTATAGTTTGAGGGAACGAAAATGAAACATTGTTGTGCTAGCATGCAAATGAAGAGAGAAAATGAGCCATTGTTCTGTAATGAACTGAGGGTTTGTAGTGGATTCAATCATTTAAAGTAGTTTGTCTGATTATGCAGTGCAATTCGTCTAAAGAGAGGAACTTTAGTATTGATTTCAGAGTTTATCAAAGTCAGACTGGATAGAAATTATTTCATTGGGGTAAAGTCACATTCCTCAACTTTTTAAAGTTTACAATTTGTGACATGCTACTTTAAATACTTAAAACATAAATATCATTGCATGTAAGTATGGAAACTTCAAAACAACATTAGTATTATTTAATTAACTGTAAACAATGTTGTACTTTGATAGTCATAGGCTAATATGGTTTTACTATTTAGAATGTCCAAAGAAAATTTCTGAACTTAAGTTTAGAAGGTGAATGTCTGAATGTGCGAATATAAAATCAACTTTACCTCAATAATGATTTCTTGTATAATTGTGCATTCAGTAACCTAACATTTACGTGAATTATTTATTTTTTTTAAACGTGCCCATTTATGTCTATCATCTACTAAAGAAGTTGGTTGTCAAGACCTGTGAAGATGCATGTGATCAAAAAGGAAATCACATGTCTAGATGCCACCTCCACAGTCAAACATGACCCAGAAGGTGTTTGTGAAAAACTAGTTTGATAAATATACTGTTTAAACATTACAAAGGGCACGACTTTTTGTTAAATAAATAAAGCAGAAATGTACAATATGGGTAGTTCACAGATAACATTTTTTTCTATTTCAGATTTCAAGTTTACATGACAGTGTAAGGCAGAGGTGCCCAAACTTTTTCTTATGAAGGGCCAAACTTGACTGAGGATGGCGCCGTGGCCAAAGCTAAATATACCAAACTGTATTACATTAAAGGTGCCCTGGTAACTTCCTAATTTAATAATAATAACACAAACTTTGAAAAAATGCTTTAACTGTAATAATCTTTATATATATATATATATATATATATTACATTTTATAGTTTACTTGCAATAAAACCATAAACAATTTCATTTATAACACAATGGAGTTTAATGTTTTTTTAAGCACAAAAACAAAACAAAAATCATTTAATAGTGAAATGAATGTAGCCATGGGCCAGTATAAGTTTAACACGGTATGATAACATTAGATAAAAAAAAAAAATACCACGGTTTCAGCGTATTGTGATTACTCCTCTAAAATAAGTTATTTTAAATGTCTTAGTAAAAAAAAACAACAACAATTTTTTCCCTATTGAACACAATATATTTTATTTAAGGAAACATTTATAATATTTTAGAACTGTAAACATGTCAGGCTAAATAATTAAAATAAATCATTGACTTCTGCTCTTTTCATTAGTTTCAGAAGAGCATTTATTTACAACACATCAAAAAACCTTACATGTAAACATGCATAACCTTACATATACTTTAGGAACGGTATAACAGAAAATTTGACAGAAACCCTGATTTTGAATCATGGTAAACCTTGAAAACCGTTATCGTCCCATGCATATGTGTCCTAATAGTGTTTTTAGCAACGTGCCACATATATATCTGTCAAGGTCTAAAAAATATTATGTGTTTTAGCGATTCATGACACTTTAAAAATCTGGGAAATTCACATTTAATTGAAACATTAAATTTCAGTTTTTCCTTTTTTTTTTGTAGCTCAGCATTTAAACAAACAAACAAACAAACAAACAAAGGGTTATGTAAAATTAGAAATGACAATCTCTGTTTGAGGGATTAGCCCTAACCTTCCCCACTGTTTGTCCATTTCTTGTGCGATTAGTTGGCAGGCCAAATCAAAGGTTACCTTGGACCAACACTTGCCCGCAGGCACCTAGTTTGGGAATCTCTGGTGTAAGGGAACATGTGAAGCTTATGCACTGAATTAGGGTTCCTTTTTGTATTTTTATCTTATTTTTATATTCAAGTTTATCTGTATAGTGCTTCTCACAATAGTTCTTGTTGTAAAGCAGTTTACAAAAGCTGCACAGTATTGCATTACAGTAAAAATCAGAAAAGTTAGCATTATTATAGTTACCTTTAAACATATCATTAACTTAAAGGGGTAGTTCCCCAAAAATTTAAATTTGCTCACCATTTACTCACCCTTGAATGATTCTAAGGTTTATGTGTTTTCTGTTTCCTTTTCTGGTAAATTAACACAAAAGAAGATAGTTTGAAAAATGTTAGAAGCTTTTACTCCTATATTAGCAAGAAGAAGAAAAAAAAACAAAGACCATGGAAGTCAGTGGTTACTGGTTTCCAATGTTTTTCAGAATAGCTTCTATTGTGTTCAACAGAAAAAAAGAAAGGTTAAGTAAATCTTTTAATTTTTAGCTTTGAATGAACTAGTCCTTTAAATGGTCTTACGATATGACAGATGTACACACATTCCCTACATGTTCTGTTATATGGAGCAAATTTTAACAGAATACATAATAAAAAGAGAGGAAAACAGTGAGACAAAATACTGTTTAAAATGCTTAATGGTTGACAATATTTTACAACCATCATTTTAGTAGAGATGACAAATGTTTTGATGTAATTTATGCTAAAATATTAAAGTGTTTTTTTTCAAGAGGGCTTAAATTTGACCCATATAACCCGTGATTTTAAAGTCATTTTATCAAGGTGAAATTATGAAATGTGGAAAAACCCCAGAGAGGAACAAAGACTCATGTTCACATTTTCTGACTCAAAGCAAAAGAGGAAGTGCTTTGTCTGCTCACAAAACAATTTTATGAATGCATCCCCTTTTCCAAAAGCAGAATAACCTGATGTTGCCTTGTACTGTACATTTGTGATTTCATGATTATCTGTATTCCATGACATCTGTATTTATGATTATTTATGCACATTTCTTTCCACTGCATGCACACAAGTAGCAAAATTGACAAAGCTTGACTTATCTTGTGTGCGTTTCAGGTCATGGGGTCTCTTTTCCGCAGTGAAGAGGTCTGTCTGATACAGCTTTTCCTCCAGTCTGGATCGGCTTACAACTGCGTCAGTGAACTGGGAGAGCTGGGAATAGTGGAGTTCAGAGATGTGAGAGGACTTTTGTTCACTATTGTTTTGTTCATGCAAACAACCTTACATTGGCTTGAATAACATTTGCAATAAAATGAGGTTTCTCTGTTTGAAATCTTAGCTAAATCCAAATGTGAACGCGTTCCAGAGGAAGTTTGTGAATGAAGTGAGGAGATGCGAGGAGCTGGAGAAAACATTCGGTGAGTCTTTCTGTTTTATTGTTTTTGCTGTTGCATTATTTTGCATATTCTTCTTCTGATAGTGCCGTGCAGGAATTATCCATGTACATTATTGCAAAGAGGTCAGTGCTCAAGGTCAAGAGTTGCTTTTTTTTAAGCTTCCTCTGCCTTTGGAGCAATTTGATCACACAGCTGTAAAAACCAGTGTTTCACAATAGCCAGATAACTAAAGCTATGCAGTTTTCCATATTGCTGCACATGAAGTGAGTTTTTTAAAATGTTTGCGAGTTGTTTATTTACATTTATTATTTATAACTTTTAAGGTTTATTTAAGATTTATTATTAAGTAATATATTTAAGAGAAAATTTTTTTAAAAACAAGCAAAAAATCTGCCAATGCGGTAAATAATCTTGTTTTTCGTTTTAAGATAAGATTAGTTTGCTTACTCCATTGGTAGATTGTTTTGCTTATTTTATGGAAAAACTCACTTAATTTTGACATTATTTCTTTAAACATGACTCTTTTTTTTTTTTTTTTTTTTTTGCTTGTCTAGAAAATGTTTTGTGATTCAGGAGTTTTTAGATATTTAGACTAGAAACAAGACAAAATATAAATAAGAGGAAGAAAAGCATATTTGCAGTGTATTAGTGATATTTTTAAACCAATAGCCCAAAATTTGTTGTATGGGTCAAAATTATAGTTTTTTTTTCTTTTACGTCAAAAAATCATTGGAATATTAAATAAAGATCTTGTTCAATTAATATGTTTTGTATTTCCTACTGTAAATATATCAAAACGAAATTGTTTATTAGTAATATGCATTGCTAACCAGTAAGCACTTCGTTTAGACATTTTTAAAGACTATTTTATTTGCACCCTCAGTTTCCATATTTACTAATTGTTAAATATTTGTTCAATTGTTCATACCCTAGGTATGAATTGTGGGCCAAGGTCACAAGAAGTAATATAACATTGCTACATACAAAGAGCACCATGTAGAGCTTGTTAAAAGGAAACTTGCAAAGTATCGCCTGTAATGGATGCTTGTAACTTTTTACCACAACTTAAAATAACCCACTTAAATACTCTAACCACTTTCGAATTAAAGATAACTCAACAGATTGTTGTGGTTTAAATTCAGTTTGCTATATATTTATGCATTTCCAATACTTGTAATGAAAATAACTGTTACAGTGATCTTTTTTTTAGTCAATTCTACAAAATTAATATGCATGCATTATTAATCGGCTACTGATATTTTGCAGAAAAGTACAAAAGATACACAATCAGTTAATAATGACAGCAGCATCTCTTATCTTGCAGAGCTGTATCACACAAACTCAGAATTGGTGGAGTACTGTTTTGTACCCCAATTACTAAAGTAAAACTGTAAATTGCAATTTATGCTGATTTGAATGTTGTTGTTTATTTTTTTTACATTTCTTTTCTTTGTTCCAGCATTTTTGGAACAGGAGATTAATCGCAGTCTCTCTCAGAAACTGCAGCCACCCATTCCCATGCCTCCAGCCCCTCAGCCCAGAGAACTGCTCACCATCGAGGAGGAGAGCGAGCGCTTGGCCCGGGAGCTCAGGGAGGTTTGTCACTTTTATTTTTTATTAATGAAAAATTTTCATTAATGTTTTAATATTAATATTATAAAATATTTTCATATTTTTCATTAATTCCTCAAATATGGGCAGAGTTCCTTTTCTCTCTCTTAATCATGGTTGAAAACTGCATACAAATGAATTCTATTCGCTTTCTTAATGTTAATTAGTTAAACTGAACTATAAGTTGAATTCCAGTGCTTCTTGTATGACTGAGTATTTTTTTTTCCACTGTCATTTTTTTAATCCTTAAACAGTAGTTTACCCCAAAATAAAAAAAATAAAAACTCACTATTTACTGACTCTCTCTATTGGTTTCAAACATTTATGACTTTCTTTTTATTTAAAATTGAACAAAAAAGAACATATATATTTTTAAGAATGTTATTAACCTTTAACCATTGATTACCAGTTTCTAGCATTTTTCAAATTATATTCATTTGAAAGAAACTCTGTGAGCGTTTTGACATTTATAATGGGTGAACTGTCAATTAAGTTTTGTTTCAAGCTATTTTTGTGTTTTCACACACATGTGCAGGTGTCCAGGAACCGAGACAGTCTGCGTTCTCAGTACACTCAGTTGTGTCAGTACAGAGGGGTTTTAAAGCAGACACATTCACTCACAGCCTCACAGGTAGAAATACTTTCTGTCACAATTTCTCCATTTCCACATGTGCATTAGTCAGTGTGGTTCACAAGAGCATGTTTTTCTGTGTCACTGGCCCCTCTGGTCTCGTTCGAGCCAATGGGCCTGGCAGAGAACAGACAGGACGTCAGGCTGAGCTTTGTGGCTGGTGTGGTTCATCCGTGGAAAGTGCCCGCTTTCGAGAGGCTGCTATGGCGTGCTTGTCGTGGTTACATCATTGTGGACTTTCATGAGATGGAAGAAAAACTCGAACATCCTCATACTGTGAGAAACCAAATTATAAATGAATATTATTAGGTTCCCTTGTGATGTACAGTTAGGTCCATAAATATTTAGACATCGATACAATTCTAACATTTTTGGCTTTATACACCAACACAATAGATTTGAAATTAAATGAACAAGACTGTCAGCTTTAATTAGAAGGCATTTACTTCCAATTCAGACAAACAGTGTAGGAATTACAACAGTTTTCATATGTGCCTCCCACTTGTTAGGGGTTTAAAAGTAATTGGACAGAATAATAATCATAAATCAAACTTACACTTTTTAATACTTGGTTGCAAATTCTTTACAGCCTAAAGTCTGGACATCACCAGACGCTGGGTTTCATTCAAGGTCCAAATATTTATGGACCTAACTGTATGTGTACATGTATAATGCATAGCATTATGTTGGTCTTATCACACTGTATGAGCAGCTTTTAAAAATACTCATTAATCAAAATGATTGATTGGGTGTGTGTTTTTTTTTTTTTTTTTCTCAGGATGAGCAGTTGCAATGGACTGTGTTTTTAATCTCTTTCTGGGGAGATCAGATCGGTCAGAAAGTGAAAAAGATCTGTGATTGGTAAGCGATTTGTGTCCTCAATGTGATGGTATGAAAATTAACGATATAATAAAAGGTCATAAAAAAGATATTTAATTACATTTTTTAGTTAATCTCAGTGCTAAATCTGTTTGGCTTTTGATTGTAATTAAGTATATAACATAAAAGTAATTTCTGAACAATATGCTTGTTAAAGTAATTCCTTAGTCATTTATCAGCAGCTTGTAAAAACAGTTGCATGTTATTTTGCCCTTCAGATTATGCCAATTTTAAATTGGAAATATGCTTAATGGACATGTTAGTTACACGAAAATTTTCATATATCTCAGTGTACTCGTATCAAGTGGTTTTTCAGGTGATGGAAAAAGGAAATATTATGCAGAAATGCCATCAAAGCCACACATAAGTCACATGATTATTTTTAAATGAATGACTATGTGTTTTGTTTAGAAACTGTCTTTTTTGGTCATGATTAAACCCTTTTGAATTGTAATAGGATTTCAACAACAACAACAACAACAACAACAGATTGATTTGGTTAACCTGGAAATTTGAATTCTCAGTTCATTAGTAAAACTGGGTACTACAACCTCCCAGACACGCCTCATACAAGGCTACTCTAAGTATAAGAGGATTTGCTTTCAATTACTTTTTCTTTAATGAAATTAATGGCAGCATTATATGAAAAGTTACCAACATCTGTAATCATGATTTTTGGAATCCAATTTTCGGGAACAGAAAACAGGGTTCCAAATGGTTATTGAACTTCTACAATCGCATTGAACATTAAAAGGTCATTGGAAGTCGGGGATTTCTTTTCCTCACTTTTGTTTCTTTAGTTTCCATAGATTATGATTTTTATTTTTTCATACCTTTTTTTTATAGCAAAATGGTAATGGTTTGGCTACTTTTCAGCTCCATTTAATTTCTAATTTATTTTGTTCATCAACTGGTAATTACTTAAGTTAAATCCAGTTACCAGACTCTATCTGTTATCTAAGCCAAACATGTCATGATATTATTGTGTTCTAAAATGTGGAAAAGGGAGCACTTCGAATCCTCGCAAAAAGTACCTCACAATTTTCCATTTGATTATCTGTTGATGTTCTTATAGAGGCTATTAAAGTGCTACAAATTAATTTTCACCCTAAAACCATTTTAAAATTATGCAAAACACAACAACAGCCTGTTTTTTTTTTATTCGTAATAGGAAATTCAGCTTTTTAGTCAGTGAAAGTAAAAAAAATGTGGAAACCCTGAGAAAAATGCCATCATTTTGCAATAGTTTTTTTTATCTACCTTCAAGAAAAAATCACTAAAGCTGTAATGGGAACCATATTACTTTAGCAACAAATGGTAACATCATTATTACTACTAGTAGCAGTTGTTGTTGTTGTTGTTGTTGTTTTTGTTGTAGTAGTAATCACTTCAATATTTACTTTTTTAACTTGTGTTCACTTTGTAAGTTCAATGCAGTTGATATTACAAAAACTCATTGCATTAACAATTGTGACATGTCATTTTGTGAGTTCACCATTAGTACTGTCTTGCATTTTAATATAGAAATCAACAATACAGCTTGCTTTTTATTCCATTTTGCTCTCTTCCTTATATTTATAGCTTCCACACACAAACATTTCCCTACCCTGAGAACCAGGCAGAAAGAGAGGAGACTCTCAATGGACTCAGAGGCCGAATTGAAGACATCAAATCAGTATATATACTTTTTATACCTCAAATACCTTAAAATTTAGACTACATATGTAACTCACTGAATGTTAAGAACAAGCAAAAAAGAAGATTATATTGTTCAAAACACTGGTTATAGCATTTTGTTGTGTTTGTGGTTCTGTTTTATTGCCAAACTCTTTCTTTACCGTTGTTTCTTAAACTGATTTGACTGAAAAACTTGTTTAAGCAACAGTGCTGTCAAGAGTAGTACTAAAATAACTAGCTCTTGTGTGTTGTCTCGTGGCTGTAGGTGATGGGTGAGACGGAGCAGTATATGCAGCAGTTGCTGGTTCGTGCGCTGGCTCGTCTGCCGGAGTGGGTTGTGCAAGTTCAGAAGTGCAAAGCTGTGCAGACGGTGCTGAATCTCTGCAGCCCGTCCGTCACTGATAAATGTCTGATCGCAGAAGCCTGGTGTCCCGTCAGTCAGCTGCCCGCCCTGCAGAGTGCCCTGAGAGAGGGAGGGGTGAGATAACACTTCCACAACACAAGATTATGGTTTTAGCCACATATTGAGTGCCTAAACTACCCTTAGTTGGGTAAACTTCTATTAGGTATGTGAAATATAAATATAAATATATAGAAAATCTATTGTAGTATTTCTAATTTTATTTTCCACCAGAAGGTGTAATGTAAAGAGATTTAATGTTATTTATAGAGAGAAAAATGTCAAGTTTGCAGACACAGTAGCATTAACTTTTTTTTTTTGTTTTTGGAATTTAATGTAGTGGAGTAAAAATAAAAAAAATTTAAAAGGCTTTACATCTTATATTTTAATAAATTATGAAAGGTGTCTATAAAAGTGTTTTTAATATTATTTTTTGTTTAACCTTTCCTCAAGTAACATTGTCTGCTAACATTTTCAAGTGGTAAGGGCCCTATGAAAACCTGTTTTTCTGTTTTGTGACGTTTTTGCTATTGTAATTTTTTAGGAACTCTATTTTTTAAATTATTATATTTTATTTAACCATTTGCAGCGACGCTGTGGCGCAGTAGGTAGTGCTGTGGGCTGGGTCAGTTGGCTTTCTGTGTGGGGTTTGCATGTTCTCCCTGTGTTTGCGTGGGTTTCCTCCGGGTGCTCCGGTTTCCCCCACAGACCAAAGACAAGCGGTATAGGTGAATTATGTAGGCTAAATTGTCCGTAGTGTATGAGTGTGAATGGATGTTTCCCACAGATGGGTTGCAGCTGGAAGAGCATCCGCTGTATAAAACATATGCTGGATAAGTTGGTGGTTCATTCTGTTGTGGCGACCACCTCTATACTTTTATTTATTTTTATTTATCTAAAAACAATTTTCTCTCCCGCCAAGAAATATTGTCTGTGCTGACATTGTTGTTAGGAGCCTATGAACGCCATTATTCTGTTTTGTGGTTAAATTACAATTTAATTAAGTCAGTAAGAAATATCATTTTTCAGGAACACTGTTTTTTTTTATTTAACAATTATATTTTTATTTAACGATTTACAAACGTGCATTCATGCATGGCTTCATACAGAATTATATGAACAAAATCTAAACATCTAGGAATACCAATCCAATCTCTCTAATAACTAAAATACAATCCAGCAATCTAAAAAATCAATTTGTGTTGGGACAACTTGAAGGAATTAAGTTAACTTAATTGTTTTAAGTTCAATCCACCTAAAATTGTAAAACTATTAAGTTGTCATAAAAAAATCAAGAATTGTGTTGTTTCGGCTCATTTTAAATATCATTTGCGTAAGTTTTTGAGTGTACACCTTTTTAAATTTAAAACACATAATGAAAGGCCTCCAGTCCGTCAATAGGCAAGGCAAGGCAAATTTCATACACATTTGTAAATTTAAAGTGCTTTACATAAACAGAGGCAAGTGTATAAGTAAATAAAAACGAATAATAACAGATAAAAAAACAAATAAACTAATAAAAAAACAGATTAAATGTGTTAAAACAGGTTATAAAAGAATGAAAAAAGAAAAGAAAGATATAATATTGTGATCTGTCGGACGTAGCACAGTGCTCATTCACTAAAAGCACAGCTAAACAGATGTGTTTTCAGTCTTGATTTGAAAGCACCTGCATATCTGATCATTTCTGGAAGCTGATTCCAGCAGTGAGGGGCGTAGTAGCTGAAGGCTGACTCACCCTGCTTTGACTGAACTCTTGGAATTTCTAGTTTAAATGATCCTAATGATCTGAGTGATCATTTCTGTAATGTATTGAGGTTCTAGGCCATTTAGTGATATATAGATAAGTAGTGATACTTTAAAATCTGTTCTGAATGTAACTGGGAGCCAGTGTAAAGATCTAAAGACAGGTGTGATGTGCTTTAATTTTCCTGGTTCTGGTCAAAATCCTGGCAGTAGCATTCTGAATGAGCTGAAACTGTCTGACTGTCTTATTGGGAAGGCCAGTAAGGAGTCTATTACAGTAATCCACCCTGCTGCTGATAAAAGCATGAACAAGCTTCCTCTAAGTCTTCACTGGAAACAAAGCATCTAATTCTTGCAATGTTTTTGAGAAGATAGTATGCTGATTTAGTTACTGCTTACATGACTACTGAAACTCAGATCTGATATCTAAACCTTGACTGTCTCTCTCAGAGAAAGAGTGGCAGTAATGTGGACTCTTTCTACAATCGGTTGCCAGCCACTACATCTCCCCCCACCCTCTTCCCAACCAACTCCTTCACCGCAGGATTCCAGAGCATAGTCGATGCTTATGGAGTGGCCAGCTATAGGGAGGTTAATCCAGGTAAAGCAGAACAATGACTTTTAGTAGTTTAAAAGAAGCTTAAATGCATTCTCACACATTCTTCTGCTTCCACAGCTGTCTACACCATCATCACGTTTCCCTTCCTTTTTGCGGTCATGTTCGGGGACGTTGGACACGGCCTACTGATGACCCTGGCAGCTCTATGGATGATTCTGGAGGAAAATGATCCAAAACTGAGGAAAAATACTAATGAAGTAAAAACATGACACATTTACTTCTCTTTTCTTTCCCAAATTTCCATAGGATCATATGTATAAAATTGCTAATTATCAACTGACGCTCTGCAGTCCAATGATTTAAGTAAAAGCAGCTAAACCTGCTTGAAAATTCACTAAATATTGCTAGATACTGTAACAATACTGTACTGTATCATACCTTTTAATTTGTTTTCTTTTTATACAGCCTATTCCGGTTTTAACGAAGACAGATTAAAAAAACTGTTCTCATTTACATATATTTTGGTTTGTTGATCATCAAAAAAAAGATTAAATAATCTGCAAATATATTTGAGTATTACTAAAATATTGTGAAACTTTTATAAAGTTTGTAGGAACGTCAATAAAGCCTCTGAATTTGGTGACAAAATCTCCAAATTTGCTAAATGTTTTTATTAAATTCTTAAGTCTAACGTGCTCTCAAGACCTTTTATAATTATAAATTTAAGAGATTTAAGAAATAAAGATATTTTAAAAATTAAAACTTAGTAAAACAGATGCAACTACACTAACAAATGAAAATAAAATTTATGTGTACTGTGCATATTTATTTTGTATCCACATATAAATACAAACATGTATATACTTGAGAAAATGTTTTATTTATATTTAAAAATTAAATATTTATGTCTAATTCAAATTCTATATAAATATATATTTGTCTTTTTTTGGTTTAGAATTTTTTATTTTATATTTGTAATTTTATATATACACAATATTTGTGCACAGCGAGTACACACTGTGAATGAAAACCTTTATTTTGGATTAATTGCCATTAATCATTTTACATCATTAATCAGGGTGTCCGCTGGGTCTTAACGTCTTATTGTCTTAAGTTTCAAATGCAAAATTTTAGGCCTTAAAAAGTCTTGAATTCACTGAATTATTATGTTGTGTGTCTTAAATCATTTTAAACAGGTCTTAATTTTCCTCTGTCCAAATAATACCTAATCAGTCCAACATCCATCCAATCACCTACAGACAGACAGACAGACCGATAGATAATTTTGTTATTGCAAAGAGATAACCATTATTGGACATTTTACAGCAAAGAAAACTATAAAACAATTACACAATTCCTCATGGTAATTATAGAGCAATTTATCCATTTACATGATCTTCCATTTATACAAAAACTATTTACAGAAGTAAGGGTAAGAAACATGATATTTATAAATAGTCTGGAATAGGCAAGGTTTTATAACAGAAAAGCGTTATGTTGAATGAAGTTATACTCGATCCATTTAGACAAAAAGCCGACAAATATATGTTTTTGACTATTCAAGTAATCATGTCTGTTAGAAATATAATAACTATGTTAAACTTGTTGTTCAAAAAAAAAAAAACATTGTTGAAAAAAGTATATAGAAATAGAGTTTTCTAGTTTTTACATATTGAAATATGTGGCTAAGAAATAGCTACATTAGATTTCTTTTTTTTTTTTTTTTTTTGCTGTTGTGGTAAGCAAAAAACAACAACAACCAGGCCATTACAAAAAATCCTTTGTGTTTAGCTCTGTATACAAGTCTAAAATTTCATTCATGATGGTTTTAAAAGGGTCTTAAAGTTCAATTGGACTTGATGAAACCTGCAGAAGCACTGTTAATATATATTAAAAGTACAGTAATGTAAAAGTTAAACCATTAAGTTATTATTCTCATGGAATACCCCTCCCTCCATTAAAAAAAGAAGCATATTAGGGCTGGTACACACCAAGTGGAAACAACTAGCACTGACTAAACCCAACTGTGTTGTTGCCTCATGTGGGCTCACGTCTAGTTTCATCTGGACCAAAAAAAACTGCCCCTGAATACACCATGTTTAGAGTGCATGTAAATGTGCTGCATTTAGTGTGAACTATTCCACTTGTAAAGACGCTGAATCATGAGCCAAATCCTGAGCTGCACTAGTTCATTGTGACAGGTCATTTTTTGTACATAAGTTGATTTTGCATCTGAATAAAAAGTCTATCATTTGCTTTGATAAAATTTCTCAATGGCATTGTAAATAAATAACAATGAACTCTTTTTATCTCATTAAAAACGCCTCAGTTACAGTGAGTCATTTAACTTCATTATTTCTTTAAATGCTAATGAGCTGCTGCTCCCCGCCCCTTCTCAGAGGCTAAAGGATCAGGCATAGGGATCCATTCTTGAGGAGCAGCTAAACCAGCGCACCATGCACACACCAAACTCAACCAAACCTTCACTTCTGCTGAATTTTCTCTACATTAGTAACATGGCATATAATCATCCATATAATCATCCAAATGATTTTGGTGCCATTTATTTTTCTGCTATGTGTGTCCTTATAATGTTTTGACAGCACTATTAGCAGTTGTTTTTTTATTATTATTTTTTTTTTACTGCACTTTTAATTCTTGAAGTAATCTCTTTGATTATCTTGTGTTTCAGATCTGGCGTATGATGTTTGGGGGCCGATATCTCATTTTGTTGATGGGACTGTTTTCCATCTACACCGGAGCCATTTATAACGAGTGTTTTAGCAAAGGCCTCAGCACCTTCTCTTCAGGATGGCATGTCCGGCCTAATGCTGAATTCTACAACTGGACGTAAGACACATAAACACACACACACACACACACACGTTTGTTTTTGTGAATTGTTGGTACATTCATAGGTTTCCATTTAATTTTCATTAAACCCGATCCTCACCATGGAAATGAAACTCATTCTGTATGATTTTATAAGCCTTTTGTAAAAATGTTGACATGATGCAATGCCATCATAGGTGACCTTATAATTTATCCATGTCATTATACATATTTTCGTCCTGATATGTCAAAAAAACACACTCATATGATCAAAGATATTGCCAGTAAAGTTTTGACAATCTCTCTGTGTGCAGTGAGGAGACATTCAAAAAGAACATGTATCTCTCTCTGGACCCAAATGTTACTGGTGTTTTCACTGGGCCTTATCCGTTTGGAATTGATCCGGTAATTCATTCAAATTATTGACACTGTTGGAAATAACATTGCAATATCCTTTTATTATTTGACATGATGGTTCCTCCCAACACCTAAATTATTTTAGTATGTGAAATCCTGAACTAAACCGATTCTTCATCTCCTCAGATTTGGGGTCTGGCCAATAATCACCTGACGTTCCTCAACAGCTATAAGATGAAGATGTCTGTCATTATTGGAGTCATCCATATGACCTTTGGTGTGTGTTTGTCTTTCTTCAACTACATGTGAGTATGTTTTTACGGTTTTAAAGTGATCTTCAACTGCATTTTATGTTGTCGTGTTTCTTAAGCTGTTACAGAAAACTTTAGAAATAATATATACATATAACGTTGTATAATATAGTAATATTGCTGTACATATTCAGTTCAATTCACCTTTAACTGTATAGCGCTTTTACAATGTAGATTGTGTCAAAGCAGCTTCACATAAAAGGTCAACATACACTTATCAATTTGTATAATGCATTCACTACTTCTATTTTTAAAATATATTTATTTGCTTTTTTCTCTGTAACTCTGTCGCACTGTAGAAGTTCTGTCATGAAAACTAACTCCTCGTATGTGTGAACATACCTGGAAATAAGGCTCTTATAAAACAAACTCAGTCCTGGAGGGCTGGTGTCCTGCATATATTAGTTACAACCCCAAATAAACACACCTGAACCAGCTAATCAAGCTCTTTCTAGGTGTACTATAGCTTTGGGGGACTTGCCTCCACATGCAATGTCTGCTCCCACTAACTTTATCTCAGATCTTGTAAAAAATGTACTTAAATACTAAACATTCAAGTTGACACTAGAATAACATGCTTCTTGAATAACTCAATTTTAAATAAGATTAAGTAGGCTCATGGAAAACTTAATATAAAAAGTGTTCACATATCTTTTGAGAGCTTGTTAATTGAGATGTAGAACATATGGAAAGCGGCTGCATAGAGAGAGACACTGCACGCGCTGATGAAGATTTAAGATGAAGCATTTCCTGTTGTTCACATCTTTATGTCCGTTAACGCTAGAAACTTTGCATGTAATAGATACATTTTATGAAATACAAATACTTACAGTTTGTCGCTTACAATCCAGAGCTTTGGCGGTTGGAGGAGTTTTTAGCCAAATCCAGCACTGAACAGAGAGATTCTGGAAGCTATCTTTTGTCAAAGCTAGCTATATGTTTTTTTTTTTTTTTTTTTATAATTCTCTGGAACATAAATAAAATTAGATTGTAGGCACTTCTGTCTTTGTGTCATGTCCTTTGGAAGCCCAAATACAGAAACGGAGCCAGCTCTGTGAAAATAGCAGTGTTTGGACGGCATATTAGCTTTCTCTGTCATATTATAGCACTACAGTGCCTCTGGCAATGCTCGTAACATGAAGGGTTCATGATCTCATTAACCCAGATGTTTTTTTGTAGTCCCCAAACTTTGTTCGCTGTAGGCTTTGCTTAGCTAACTCTGTAAAAGCCAATGTCTCCCTTTGCACTGAACTTAGAGCATTCAGAGATGTTATGTTCACACAGCAACATCGCACATTAACTTAACATGAAGTATAAAATATGATATCGTAGTGGACTTTCCCTTTAAACATTAACCGTAACATTAATGGCACAGCTTTTTAAATGAACTGCACGATACACATGCACCAAACTATTAACAAACAAGCAAAACTATTAACAAAATTAATCAAAGCACAGTTTGAAATACCTATAACTTATTAATTGAATAATCTTTTTAACTCTTCATCTTCACGTGCGCATCTATCTATCCAAACCCACGTCAGGAAAGACACGTCATTCCATTCCTAAAATGTTCTTTTGCATTGCCATTTAAACCATGATTGATATAAATCTGTCCGTATTCACTATTTCTTCTCTTTTCCTTCAACTGCGTAGACATTTCCGAGAGGTCAGCAGTGTGTTTCTGGTATTGATCCCGGAGTTGTGCTTTATGTTGTGTCTGTTTGGATACCTGATCTTCATGGTGATTTATAAGTGGCTGGTCTATGGTCCTGTGAATTCTGACTCTGCTCCCAGCATCCTCATCCACTTCATAGACATGTTCCTGTTTACTGAGAACAAGGATAACAAACCACTCTACACAGGCCAGGTGTGTGTGTGCAAGTGCATATCCTGATCTCATCTTTGCTTTAGCATCACAAAACTTTTGTGACTTAGAATGAAGTGTACATCTTAAATTCTTTATGGTTTATTCTTAAAAGTGACTTGGACTCCACTGATACATAGTTAAAACTGTTCTCTGATATCTACATAGAAGATACACTTAAAGCCACTTTATAAGGTACACCTGTCCAACTGCTTGTTAACGCAAGTTTCTAATCAGCCAATCACATGGCAGCAACTCAATGCATTTAGGGATGTAGACATGGTCAAGACGATCTGCTACAGTTGAAACAGAGCATCAGAAAGGGGGAGAAAGGTGATTTAAGTGACTTTGAATGGCATGGTTGTTGGTGCCAGATGGGCTGGTCTGAGTATTTCATAACTGCTGATCTACTGGTATTTTCACACACAACCATCTGTAGGGTTTACAGAGAATGGTCCAAAAAAGAGAAAATATCCAGTGAGTGGCAGTTCTGTGGGCACAAATGCCTTATTGATGCTCAAATAACCACTCGTTACAATCGGGGTATGCTGAAGAGCGCAACGCATTGAACCTTGAGGCAGATGAGCTACAGCACCAGACAACCACACCGGGTGCCACTCCTGTCAGCTAAATAGAGGAAACTGATACTACAATTCACACAGGCTTACCAGATTGGAAAAACGTTGCCTGGTCTCATGAGTCTCGATTTCTGCTGCGACATTCGGATGGTAGGGTCAGAATTTGGTGTCAACAACATGGAAGCATGTATTCATCCTGCCTTGTATCAACAGTTCAGGCTGCTGCTGGTGGTGTAATGATGTGGAAGATATTTTCTTGGCACACTTTGCACACCAAAGCTTACATAAGTATTGTTGCTGACCATGCTTATTGCTTTATGACCACAGTGTACCCATCTTCTGATGGCTACTACCAGCAGGATAACGTGCCATGTCATAAAGCGTGAATCATCTCAGACTGATTTCTTAAACATGACAATGAGTTCACTGTACTCAAATGGCCTCCACAGTGACCAGAACTCAATCCAATAGAGCACCTTTGGGAGATCATATCATGGACGTGCAGCCAACAAATCTCCAGCAACTGCATGATGCTATCATTTTAATATGGACCAAAATCTCTGAGGAATATTTCCAGTACCTTGTTGAATCTATCCCATGAAGAATTAAGGCAGATCTGAAGGCAAAAGGGGGTCCAACCCAGTACTTGCGAGGTGTACCTAATAAAGTGGCCAGTGAGTGTATGTAGCTCGGGTAAGTGCAAAAAATCTCCAGAAGTGGTTTTACATGTCTAGGTATTGCCTATGCAAATGATTTTACCTTACCTTGTAATGGTTAAGCAAAAATAATCATCTTTAGCTGTCAAAAAAAAAAAAAAAAAAAGACGCAAGAAGGCTAGGACCGAGTGAGCTACCTGTAAGCAACTCTATCCTGGTTTGCTAATGAGTTATGTGTTATTGATGTATTATAGGCTTAATTATAATTATACCTGGCAAAATAAACTGATATAGATGTATCTAGAGTTGTATTCAGTGGGCTTTTCATATATGTAAACATAGACAGGAATTAATGTCAGCATCAGCGTAAACAGATTTTCATCTTCCTGTCCAAATTGCCAAACTTTGTTTTATGAAGTTTATTGACATCCTTTTAGTCCAAAATAAGACACCATGCATAAACGTGCATTAAACCGTTTGCATCTGTTGCCTCATTACAAACAAGTTTCACAATATATACATTAAACTACCAAAAGATACAGTTAAACATAGCTTATTCCTTTTGCTGAAACTTATCTGTTTTAACTGTTTTTAGCATTCTGACAGCTGATGAGAGGCTCAGTACCTCAGAACTGCTGAATGCATGTCCCATTTTCCAAATAAGAGTCCCACACACATAGGATATATATGCTGGAACATAAGGAAACCATTTTAGTAATGTTGTTATTGCAATGGAAAATGTTGCGGCCAATCAAATGCTGCTGGGGGTGTGCATGTCAGTCATTTAGAGTGTTTCGTACTAGACAGTGTACGTAATGGACAACAATGTACAGTGGTTCCCACACATAGACTTTTCCTGGGTGGGCCACACAGATATATTAACGGCCACCCAACAATATTTAGTGACACTTTTTTTTTTTTTTTTTTTTTACCATTATTATCATCCTTTTACACTTTTTTTATTATATATTTTTTTTTGTATCTGCCCAATATAACCAAACATCCACGATCAAAATCCACGAGTGGAAAATCTTCTCTCATTTACTCATTTAGATCAGTGTGTGGAAGACCTATCACTACTCTCACAAACAGTCTCGCATGCTCTGCTGACCCACAGAGATGCGCCTTGGGACTCAAAAATTAATCTGGCCAGGTTTTCTAACTGCTAAAATGTCCAGAATTTGACTTTTGCTTTTGCTTTCTAATGCTGTTGTTAATTGTATGCGTTTTTGCATTACCTTTTTATTTAAGCCTACTTTCGCTTGGCTTCGCTGCTGACGAGTTACAAGCTCGAGAAACAATAAATAATTAATTCTTTAATCTAAACAACTCAGAGAAACTGTACTATATACTCAGAGAGGATAAAATGACTGGTCTAAACTTGCTGCAAAATATATGTACATCATTAGTCATCGTTAATCAAAGCATTTGCCTTATTTAAATAATCATTGTATAATCCTTGTATAAAAGATTTAAAGTAATCTTGTAATTATTATAATGTTTAGAGAAATTGACTGATTTTATTCCTTTTTCTCTTTATTATTCATTTGCTGTATTTTTTTTATTTTTATGATGTTAATATTTTACATAGTCTTTATTTATATACAAATCTAAAATGCTTAGGCATTCAAGCTTGCTTTGAGCTTAAAAGAGAGATAGAAGCAGATTTAACCTGTTAGTGGCTGCACATGGCTCCTGAATAGTAAAAAAAGTAAGATAAATAGTGGACTTTTTTAACTTTAACCCATTCAAAAGAAACAATGTATAAAAGTGTCATAATAATAATCAAAATTATTGCTAAAAATTAAGTTATGTTTTGGTTGTCGCTTATAGTTATCTATTTATCTAATCTGGGTAAATGGTGTGTTTCGATCCGGGTACCAAACCTGTGGGAAGCACTGATGTATATCCTGTTTTTTGTTGTACAATAGTGATGTTGGTTTATTTGCATCTTGAATGTCCGGAATGTAATACTTAAGCATTTTCCTCAAGACTTCATGTCTCCTTCAAATTATTTAGCCCAATCAGCAAAAAAAATGATAAAGTCAACCCATGTATTTGTGTCTCTAGATGACTGTGCAGAAGGTTCTAGTGTTTGTGGCGGTGTTGTCTGTTCCTGTGCTGCTATTGGGGAAGCCGATACAAGAATACCTCTCACATAAGAGGAAGAGAAGAAATCCTACAGTAAGCTATTCATCTGCTTTAAGTATTTGGATATGGACTCATGTTTACCAATGTGTAACTATGATCTTATCTTCTGCAGGAAGACAGACGTCCTCTTCTTGCAGAAAACGGCTCTATAAATTCACAACAAGGAGATGTGGATGCAAGAGGAGGAGGAGGAGAGGAGGAGGTGAGATGAAAAAAGGAGTTGTAGACTGTCAATTAGTTATTTTTAATGATCCGTTTAAACTTGATTTACAAGGAGTAAGACATTTACTCCTACACTACAGAAATTTCTTTAATTCACAACATGTCAGTGTTGCATTGCAAAAACTCACATTTTATTAAAGAAATTATGTAAAACGGTAAAAGTTCCCCTTATTTCACAAACCATCCATAAAAATGAACGGTATTTTTGAGACTTATTGGGAACTTACTTTCTTGCTTCTCTCATTTAGCACAAACCCAGATGTGTTCACACAGGGTTCCACTTAATTTTAATTAGTTACTGTATATACGTCTCTGTACATTAAAAATGGTCAGACTGTAAAATAAAATAAAAATTTAAAATAAAAAATTTCTTTAAAAAAATTTTTTTTCAGAAAATAACTGGCATTTTAGAAAATGTCAAATAAAGTAAAATAAAAAAATTCTAATTTGTGCAAACTTATGCTTTGTCTTTCCATCATACATTATTTGAAAGGAGTTTGATACAGCGAACGTCTTCATGCACCAGGCCATTCACACTATTGAGTATTGTCTTGGGTGTATCTCCAACACGGCCTCATACCTGCGGCTCTGGGCCCTCAGTCTGGCTCATGCACGTAAGTCAAGTCATTTATGTTTCTATAGCACAATTGTCAAAGCAGCTTTACAGAGAAAATGGGCAATAATGGAATGCAGTTTAAACAGTGTGAAAAGTACACTTTCAGTTTAGTTTAATGCAGATACAGTCATTGTTGGAGGATGTGATTCACTGTAGGCCCTACCAGCCCAACTTAGGCAAAGGCAATTGTCAGTATGCTTGCATGGACAACAATATTCCAGTGATAACAATTAGGACTGCGAAATGAAATCACAAATTAAATTAAGCAAAGCTTCGGTTGTAATGCACATTTTGTCAGGAAAGCACTGTTCTGTAATCAGTAGTATCCTCTTAAGTCCAGAGGGGGCTCTGGCATAGAAACTCAATCACTCACAAAGATGTTATAGGAATCCAAATGAATGGGAATAACATAAAATAATGAACCGAAGAGAATATTCAATCATAATCTAAAATAATATTAAAGGAAACAAAATAATCTTATCAATGTTTTATAATTGGAGTCAGATAAAACGAGGATAAATATATTAATATTTTAAACCACCTCATACTAAAATTGGAGTCAGATATTCAGATATGAGTTAAGTTTAAAGTAAATCAACATTGTGCACTGGAAAGACCGAACATGCAGTGAACCTTCATCCACCAGTGGACACCGTCATTGGACCAAATGGCTGGACCCTACAATAGTAATAGTTGTTGATTTGAGTTATATTTGGGTTGATGGTAAACCACACTGTTACTTTGTATCAAAGCTATCTGACATTATCAAGGTGACTTTGTGACACCGTTTAATTGAGAAGAATAAGTAAATGACAAGTAAAACAAAACAAAAAAACTCATGTAAACACCTTAAACATTCAAAGTAAGGTAAATAACCTGATATCTGCTTTTCATGTAAATTTACTAAGTACTTTACCCATTAACAATTGACCAACAAAGCACGCTGTTATCATGATTGAGGAGCCTCATGACTATTTTTCTTCTTCTTTTAGAGTTATCCGAGGTGCTGTGGACGATGGTAATGCGACAATCCTTCGGTCAGCTCAGTTATGTGGGCTCAGTCATGGCGGCGCTTGTTTTTGTTGGCTTTGCTGTGTTAACCGTGTCTATCCTGCTCGTCATGGAAGGGCTGTCTGCTTTTCTACATGCACTTCGACTTCACTGGTGAGAGAAACATGTGTCCACATACACACAGAAATCATCTTTTAGATATCAACACTGAGTCTTGCCTACTTACTGCAACCCAGCCTTCCCCTTATATATGTCCTAACCAGGGTTTTACATTAACTGTTTTAATCACTGGCCACTATGGCTAGTAGTTTTCCAATGTTACTAGCCACTCTACATTTTCACTAGCCACCATTTTGTTGTTAGGGAAATATATTTTATATGCATAAATTTGACATTGACTTGCTAAAATTACTTGATTTAAATTTTTTGTTATGTCCACATGCGTCCTTATTCATTTAGCTTTTTGTGTGTCGAGTATGAGCTTGCTCAATGAGCATGAGCAAATGGGTCATGGTTTCATAGTATTATATTGCAATAATTTTTTATTTCACATAACTTTTTTAGAGCACAAAATTAACAATTTACCAAATTTATCTCTATAACCACACTAAACAATAATTATTCCTTAGCCACAAATTTTTAATGTGTCAAAACAAGCAAAATATAGCTGTATACTATGCTTTTTATTTAACAAAACATTTCTTCAAAAAGAAAGAAAAGCAATTGACTTTTAAAAAAATAACTATTGTCATGTATCAAAAATAAGCACAGTAATCTGTCCTGGCTAAAGAATTCTCAGATCACCAGTAACTGCACATAAATGTAGAGTTCATCTCCCATTAAAGCAATGTTGTAAAAAAAAATAATAATAATAATTAAGCCATTTTAACAAAAATAAAAGCAAATAAAAGCGTAAGCGTAAAAGCGTAAGCGTAATTTAATAATCAGTTTAAAGTGAAAGTAACCGGTGCTGCTTACAAAAAGACAACTATTGAGCTCTTAAAAGCATCTGGACTGTGAGTGCATTCATCACTTTTTGTCTAGTTTATTTGAAAGAGAACTGATGACAGTTGCGTTTCCAGAACCTGTTCCAGACACTGTTGCTTCACGATTTGGGAGCGCGCACTCGTTCAGCAGTCGCGCGCACGTGTTTTAAGAAGTCGCGGTCATCACATCAGCTGTTAGCATGATGATCATCATCCACTCATTCGATATTCACTTGCTGTTTTTTCTGCTCGCGTGATCACAATTATTTTACATTTCGATTCTAAGATCACATTTGCACGCATATTGGGTCATCCTTATATTGTCGAACCCTGCTTTAGGAAAACTACAATTTAAAAATTATTTTCAACCAGCCAAAGTGGCCAGTGGGATTTTCTTTCTAACCCGCCAAAGCTGAAATCTACCCGCATTTGGCGGGTTGGCGAGTGTTAATGTAAAGCCCTGGTCCTGTGGTGGTTTTCTTGGTTTTTCTCTTACTAAATCAAACTCAGTCTGGAGGTTATGAATATCAGAAGAATATACTTTATTGTCGACAACAAAGGAGAACTTTCAGGAGACCCCCAGTAGCATCTCTGTCTGAAAAATTCTGCCTCCCTAATCTCCTGGCCTGTTTAAATACACTTTGACAACAATTATTTTCCTTTGTTCTCCATACATTACACAAGATCCCTCCCCTAACCCCAAATTCCACCTCTGACATCTGTTTCCTGAGACACCTCAGGCTCTTTTACCACTCTCTTTTCATCCCTTCTTTTATGACCCCTAGTTGTTTCCTCAAGCCATTTCCCATGTCCAATTGTTTTAATGGTATGCAAGTCTACAAGCAGATTATACACATATAACCTGAATATATAGATTAACTTCACACTCCAAAGAGCACAAAATCCACCTCATATAATCCCTCCTCTTAAGACTTTAAGTCTTAATAATCTTGCTTTTGGCCCATAGTGCAACTCTATGACCTAGCCCTCAGTTATACTACCTAATGACAAATATATGTCACAGTATTATTACAAATGACCAAATCATGTAATTGCACTTTGGAATAAAATCGAGCCAAACTTCTGCGCCCACTATTGACGAGGATACAGTAAAAGACTCGATTCTATTTTGTTGTTATCATAAAAGGTATTGTTTTAAGCATACAGGTGGTTATACTTTGCTTCTGGGGGTCATGGTTATTTAACACACAGTAAAAAATAAAATTAAAATATTAAAATAAAAAATAAACATAACATAACCCAATCTCTCAATATATGGTCACAACACACTATTCTAATCTAACATCCACAAACATAATCCGTAGAGTATGTTGATCTTCAGCCCAGATACTTTGCGTATCGTAGAGAGCCGCCGTTTTGGGGTAGAGGTTACTAGCACTTAACACCCAAGGCATGGATCCTCTTCATCATCCTCTTCTTTATCTAAACTATAAAAATTTTTAGCACTAGTTCATCTTTTTGAACCTAAATCTGGCACATACTTGCGAGCATTCTTTGTTTCGTTCTAGCCTTAAAAAGTGTTGCTAAAGACTTTATGTTGAGAGTCTATAACCTGAAGTTGTGGTGATTATCATCACTTGAATTTGTGGCACCTTCAGTATTTCTCACTCAGGTATATAATCAGAATTACTCTTTTAACTGTTCTGATGAACTGCTTCTGTCACACTTTGCAATTCGTTGGTTTGAGCTTTGGGATTTTCTGCCTCCTCTGTTTCCCGTTAGCTTTCTCTTGCTGGAGTGTTTTTCCTTTGGCTGTCTTGTGCTGTGGTCCAGATGGTATCCAGTTGATGGCATCCCCTTTGGTAACCTTGGCATAAGATCCATTTCTCCTGATTTCACTCCACTTTCTCCAGAAAACCTCAGATATTCTCGATCACCGGATTAATCTCCTTCTTCTGGTCCTTTCTGGTTTCCTGTACAGATATCACTTTGCACATAGCAGTTAGTTTCCTCATAAAAGACCAAACTTCTTTCCAATGCATTCGAAATGTTCTCCAAACATTCCAAACGGTTATATGCGAAGTTATTTGCGAGATTACATGCAAGGGTCGACCCAATAATACTTCATGCAATGTTAGTTGTTTGTTTCTGTCAGTTTTCATGCAATCACTTATTAATGCAAAAGGTATATTATTTTAACACATCTTGTTAAACTAGGCCTTGATGAATCATCTTTAGCTCTTTCAATTATTCCTAACAATTATGTGTAATTGCTTAATTTTTTTTTCAATTTCCAATACTTTATCAATACATTTACTTATCTATTCACTGAATCACATACCCACTTATTTATCTACTTAATTACCTTTATTCACTTTAATTGACTTTAATTACTCTAATTTATTTTTAAATGGAGACACATTAAACTTATTTCTGAAGATATTGCAAATCTGAGACTTCTCTTGTCTTAAATGTAATAACTGTTCCTTCTTTCCTGCTCTGCTAATGGAATTACCTTCACTCATCTACCACAACTGCCATGCCCAAAAACTTGTATCTCTTGCCCTAAATTAATTTTATCATTTCACAACATCCACTATGAAGTTCTTGAATAACCCATTAGATCTATTGTTGTTCCTCTATTCACATTCTACTTTGCACAAATGTCACATGTGGACAACAATTCAATAATTACTGCATTTAAAATGGATAATTTTTTCAAATCATTTTGCTTGCTGCTTAATTTTCCTTATCACTTCACCCTTGATTCAAACCATGTACATCGCCAATGACAATATCTAGAAATGCTATTGTATCAACAATCTGTACTTCCTATTATAAAAATCATACCTATCTTTTTGGCTTCCCTTTGATGCTATACATATTGTTCATAAAGACTTGTATGTTATTTAATTTGCACTATCATCTAATTGAGGTTGTGACTCTATACTAGTGTTAGACCTGCTACCTTATTTTCTTTAATGTAAAATCAATTTCTTATTTATCATCTTAACAATTATTATTGCATCTAGAATAAATACAGAATCTTGTTAACACTAAACCCGTCATCCCTAAAAAGTTTTATTTATGTCTTTTACTTAGCTTGAGCTAGATGTACTTGCAGATAACTAAATCCTACACGTTACAATATTCATCGCAAAATATTCTAAATCCTTTTATGCATTCTAATCTATGTATGTATATCCGCCTATTTACTTTAATTGTAACCAAGTGTCTACCCTCCTCTGTTAATTACCTAAACAGAAATCAATTAATTACTTTAACATTTTTGGCATCCAAACTAACAAATTTAAGTACAGTGCGTGTTAGGAACCTCTGCTAAGAAATTCACTGACTGTTCTTAAATCATAAATTTTACAACCTCTACTTTTGTCTGTTTTGATTAACGCCATGATCAAACTTTAAATTTTAATCAAATTAAAATAAAATCCATTGTATTAGTTACCTACACAATCACAACCAAATTAGAAATGCCATAACATATTTAAATGTTTCTAATATTGCTATGTTCTCAAAAGTTTCAATAATGCCTATTCCAGCATATAACAGACCTGCATCTGGTTTAATTTTTTATTAATCCTCCCTATGCCGGCTAATTTTGTCTACCTCTAATGTCCTGAACGTTAATCATTATTAAAATTTGACATTTACCTAAATAATTTCTTATTTTGCATTTTATATTAATTAACATTTTTCACTTTTCAGCATTTTCAGCTCCTAATTCCTTCCTGTTCTCACATCAAACTGGTTATTCATAAACTTTTTGTTGTAATTTTCTACAAGTTGACTGAAAAATCACTGGATTTCTTTATAGGTTCCTCTCTATCTGATCTGATTTTTCTCCTTTAGTCCTTAATTCTTTTTTGCTTTTAATTATTTCTTCACATTTGTAAAACAACCTATTTTCTGTTTTTAAACACTTTTCTCTTTCAAATATTATTTTAGTACATTTAGAATTGTTACTTTTTGGCTTATTCAGTACTGTGAGTTCATTTTACTTTTTTTGTGTTTCTATTTCTTCTTTAAATCACTTTTCTGTCTTAATCTCTGACATAATTTTTCTCCCAAATCTAAGTTTAGTTTACTCAAAATAAGTTTTCCCTAATTTTAACTTAAATACTTAACTCCATCAACTTCTAACCCAAATTATTATTTTTTTTAGTTATCAAAAACTGTCTTTTATTA